GGTCTCGGGCACCTGGGAGGCCCCTCCTACCCCGGATGGAATTAGCCAAGTTAGGAAGAGGAATTCCACCTCCGGTGAGGGAGAGGACAGAGTGATTGAGATAATAATTATTTTGAAAATTTCCTACTTGTAGACTGCGTCAGCTTTTAAGTGCCTTCCCCATTCATAATCTGATATTGATTCCCTTCATTCTCTTATTCATTCTTTCACTTATTAGGCAAATATTTATTGAGCGTCTTCTATGTGTCTGGCATGTTAACAGCTGGAGATAACGGCGATTATTAAGAGTGCTGGGTTTATAGGGGAAGTTAACAACCACCTTTGTCTTACTGTGCGCCTTACTGTGTGGCCTTGGAGGAAAAGGTTAATCTAAGTCTCAGGTTTCCCACCTGTAAATCAGAGCCCCCAAAACCTCACAGGGCTGTTGTGAGGATCAAATGAGACAATGTTGGGGAACGATTTTTATAAATCTTACAACACTGTGTGAATGAAAGATTATTATTAATTCACAGTAATTTGTTAGTTACTTCATTCACTCAATAAACACATAAATCCTTCAGTTTGGCTGAAACCTGGGTGTGAGTCCCAATTCTGTCAGCTGTATGATCTTCAGCAACTGACTTAACTTCTAGACTGAGCTTCAGTTTTATCATCTGAAAAATGAAGGTGTTGATATCATCTTAGTATTAATGCATCTGATGAAATACTCTATGTGAAAAGTGCATTGCTCAGTGTAAATAAATGTTGGCTAAAGTTGTATTTAGGGCAGATGCTTTAGTTTCTAATTCTCATAGCAGTATGTCTATTTCTGTGGCACTTTCTCCTGTAACATCCAGTTCAGTATGTGCACCCCTGGGGCTCTAAAGCTTCTGTTGCTTTTCTTCTGAGAGGAGAGAGTGAAATGGGGTAACTGGGGCAGGGAGGACTGTGTGTGCTGAGCTTGTGATCAAGCCATGGTCCAGGTCTTCTGACCTCTGCTGACCCTGAAGCTCTTGATCTCTGGCCTCCTGATGCATCCTGGTTCCAGAGCACTCATGCCCAGGGATACTCTTTGCCCTGGGCCTGGGTTTTGTCCTTCCAGGTTCCAGGCTCTCTAGAGAAGAGGACATTGTACTAAGGACAAGAGTTAGGAACTTGGGTCTTGCTCTTCAGGGGGCAAAGCAGAGGCTGAAGAGTCTGCAAAGAGGGACCTCAGGAGCTCCCCTGGGGTGACCAGAGGGTTGGGGGGGGCTAGTGACCAGGAAAGGGTGCAGGCAGAGGCGCTGAGAGGGTGTGGTGCTTAGAGAGGCCAGAGTACTTGGGCCAATCATTACTGTGGCTCAGATAAGGCCCTGCCAGCTGCAAGCAGAGTCAGTGTGACAGAAGAGTTTGTGTGGCTGAAGAGGCAGGTACAGGGGTGTGTCCCTAGCATCGGACCATGCCAGGGACAAAACGGTTTCAACATGGGATTGAGACACCAGAACCTGGCAAGTGGGAGTTAAGACCCCTTCTCCATGTTGGCCTTCTGCACTGATTCCTAGAATCCTGTCCCATTTAGACTTCCCTCCACCCTGGGTTTCTGTTCTCTCCCTCCTCCTCCCCATCTTCCTTCCTCATCTTCTTTCCCTGATAGGCCCAGAGTACCAGGTGCAAGCTAAATGCTTTGTGTGTGTGTATCCCAGATTGTGCCTGCTGCCACTCCCACCTCCAGTTCAGCAGGCGTGAATGAGGTTTTGGCTCCCTGCCTGTAACCTTGTCCCCTCTTCCCTCTGGGTATGCTGTCTGGGTATGAGGCAGCCCTGCCAATCCAGAGAAGTCAAACCCACCGACCCAGGATCTGGACAAAGCAGATGCTGAGCAAATTGTTCAGCTGCTGGGGCAATGTGATGCTGAGATCTTCCAGAAGGAGGGACAAGTCATGCCCACCTACCAGGTGACCCAGGCCCATCCTCCTTTGTTTCACTCCACAAATACATAAGCCAACCCCAACCTCACCTCTACCTCTGCCCTCTCAGACCATGGTCCCTAATTTTTGAAATCCTGAGAGAACCTCCACTTCACCCATCACCCCCTAGTCCACTGTCCTTTTTTTTGGCTGCTGATGTCTGTCTGTTGCCTACAGAGACTCTACAGTGAGTCAACTCTGACCACCATGGTATAAGTGGCTGGAAAAGTTCAGGAAGCGTTGTAAGTACCAAGTCTCCATCTGCTACCTGCCAAAACTTGTCTTCCTCTCTACTTTTTTCTTTTCTTGGTCTCTATTTTTCACTTTCTTAGACCTCAGTTCTCCTTTCTCTCAGTCCTTTCTGTGGGGTCCTTATTATCATCTTATTAATCAGTAGTAATTGTAACTATTACTGCATCATACTTTATAGTTGACCATGCACTTTCACACCCATTACCTTCACAAAAAACTTGTGAAGTTGGTGTTATTGTCTCCACTTTTTTCAGATGGGAAAACAAAGACTTAAGATAATCACAGTAGTTTACTAAAATACACTAGCTAATAATTGCTGGATAATGCTGATTCTATTTGTCTGTCTGTCTGTCTGTCTATCTATCTGCCTACCTACCTATCTATCTTTCTATTTATCTATCTATGAATGACAAAGCTGCTTTCAGACCTTTTTGGAAAAAGCAAGCATTTGAATAAGTAGCCATACTTGGAGTCAGACTGAAGTTTCTTTCTCAAATCGAAGGTTTCTTTCTGCTGCACCACGGTGGCTATGTTCTCTTCACTTTTGTAACAAGAGGGAGTTTTTGTTACTGACAAAGAAAAGAATGTGCTTCCCTCAACCTGAGGAGGGTTCTGGAGACTTAGGCATTTTTCCTTTCTCAGGAGCCTGGGGGGAGGCAGTGGGGCTGGTGGGGCTGAGTGGAGGGGGCACCTCTGGGAGGATGGCATTCTTCATGTCGGTGAGTACTTTGATCCCTGGTTTCGCTCCTTCTGCCTTCTCAGGGTGACACTCAGGATCATAAAGCTCATCGTAACTCAGCTCCTAGGTGGAGCCCTCCAGCTCCAGCTTTCTGTCTTCTCCAAACCCTCGATCTCACTATGGAGTCCCATTTCTGCTGAGCCCATCTGAGCCCCTGGTCTACTGTCAATGTCTCTCCATCCCAGCACCCCAAGTCAGTCGTCTCCAAGGAGCATCTTTAAGTGCCAGATTCCAAGCAGTACTGACTTAAGCACTGGCCTGGAGAATCATTATACAGCTTCTCCCCTGTAGGTGTTGAAAATCCAAGATAATCGTTCCTTCACCGACATTACTATTTCATGTTCTCTCCCCCTTCGCAGGTCTCCTTTAACCAGCTGATGAAAGGTCTAGGACAGAAACCTCTTTACACCCCTCCTCATTGCCAGAGGTAACAGGTAAGCCAAGTTAGCCTATGAATATTGTGTTTGGCCTGAATAATGTTTTTAAAAAATTAAATCTGAATTATTTTAGATAGAGACTGTGTCCAGTTTGCTTTGGTCCCACCATTCCTTATTGCCTCACACTTGGCCCACATTACATACTTATGTTGCCTGAATAGCCCTTGTAGGTATTTGAGTTCTTCAACCCTAGAGAGCATTTATCATGGTGCCTGACAAATAGTAGGTACCCATTCAGT